AAAAAAAAAAAAAAAAAAGAAAAAAGAAAAGCCAAACCCAAACTCAAAACAAAACCCCAACAAACCCAACCAAATGTAAAGTAAAAACATGCCATTCGAGCAGGGAGCCTGGTGGCATTCAAACTTCTGCAGACCTATTTTTGAGGTGTGAAACACTTAAATAAATGCTGAGTCTTAGGTGAGCGAGGAGCATAACGGATGTAAACATTTACATGGGATGCATTAGACTTCTGCTGTGTGTATTGTCTTTTGGTTGAAACAAATTATGAAGTGACTAATAAAATGAGTCAATATTCAATGATTTAAAACTGTGCCTTGTTGCTTTTTGCAAGTACAGTGGGGTAGGACTTACTGATTCTTAACGTTTGGCCATGACAAGGTCAGATGATGTGAGATAATAAGGGCAGAATTTGGAAAAACTTTCCAGGAAATTTCGGAGAGCGTAATGAGTAGGCAATTACAAAACGCTTAAAACAGTTCACCTGAAGCTTGTCAGCTGCTGGCAGCAGTGCTTGTCCGGGTGCTGGAAGGGTGTGATGAGATCTGAGCACACAGAAATTTTTCCCTGGTGTTTGCAGCCTGCCCTTGGAGTTGGTTACGATTCCCTTGCTGATTAAAAAGCCGCCTTTCGTACTCCACGTGCCTCTGGGACACGGACTGTTGTGGTCTCGTTGTCCACTAAAGCGATGCATGTGCCTGCTGTAAGGTTCGTTCTTGCGTTTTCTAGTCGCAGTAACGTTTTATTAGATAACTTTTCATGTGTTTTCTAGCACGTAATTGCACTTCTCTCTGCAAAGTACAATCTCCCCAGTATTGCCATGTGTTCTTCCTTTATGGAAACTCTCTTGAGGCAAAGTAGTTACAGAACTACAAAGCTGTAGCTGGAAGTGCGTTGTAATCCTGCCTTTCTGTAGGTTTTTTTTTTAGGGAAAGCCAAATGAAAATTTGATTTAAAGCCTTCTCAGCTTGTGTGCATGCTCTGGAAGCGTGAAGAACTAGGTGGCCTTTCCTGTGACCGCCTTGGTTTAATGACATGAATTAATACGAAGTGCCAGGGAGCACTTTTAACCTTGCTGGTAAGACGGGTTGTCTGTCAGTTCACGGTTTTAAATAGGAGAGCCCTCCAGACACCAGAGAATTCGGAAAGGGCATCGGAAACTGCCCGTTTGCGTGGCGGCGGCCAGCCCGTCGCCTCAGGCCCTGGGCCTCGAGCAGGGCAGAGCCCTGGGAGGCTTTCCCTTGGCGTTCCTCCCGCGCGCGGGCGAGCCCGGGGAGCGCCGCGCCGTGCTGCGTACCTGACGTCTGCGCGGGAGCGGATCTGCGATGCCGTACAGCAAAATGCTCCGAGAGACTGGGAAGAAGGCGGGAAACGTTTAAAGGAAACACGTAATAGAATTGGAAGTGTTTGGCACAGTAATAATAGCAACGGTGAGAATTTGGAAAGCATGTCTGGACTTAACTCTGAAATGAGACCAGGAATTAGCGTAGCAAGAAAGAAACACGATGACGACAGGCTAAAGTGTATTAAAGTTTGGAACCATTGGTGATTACGGGGAAGGCGGGAGGCTTTTGGTTTGGTTTTAATGTGCTTGATCCCGTTCAGGCATGAGCAGGGGCTGGCTTAAAGCGTTAATCAGGTTCTGGTGCGCGGCACGGCGACGGCGGCAATTATTAGCAGACAGGGGTTGAGGCTGCCGGAGCTGACGCCGTGCCCCGCGCAGCAGGGGCGGCGGGCGATGCTCGGGTGCTCTGCTGCGGAGCCCCAGCCCGGGGAGGCGATGGCCGCAGAGGCTGCGGAGGTCGGCGAAGGACGTGGTGCGACAGGGCAGCTGTATACAGGTGAGGCGGTTCTTCTTTCCTCACCGGGTGAGTAAGTAGTTTACACCGTACGCTTCGCGGGAAGCAGCTGCGCGACGCGCACTGACGACACGCCGTGAATACCCGCTCCGCCGCGGTGCTGCCTGGCTCCAGCCTCCCGGGACGGCTCCGGCCCGGCCCCGCCCTGAGGGCCGAGGCGGGCGCGATAACGCGGCTCGGCCCCGCTCCCGGG